GGCAGGAGGTGCTGGGGGCCCTGCCCCTGGAGGCTGAGACGCTGGAGGCCGTGGTCTGCGCCAGTGCGGCCCGGGAGGAGTACGTGGGCCAGCCCTTGGCCCGCCTGCTCAGCGCCGGCGTTGACTTCTGCGGCGTGCACCAGAGGACCACGGACGTGGCCATGCTGGTCACCGTGTTCTGCTGGTTTGCGGTGGTCATCGCCTACGTGGTCTACTACGTGGCGCGGAACCAGGCCGAAACCCGCCGGCACCTGGAGTATCTCAAGGCCCTGCCCATCAAGCAGCCGAGTCCAGAGGACGAGGAGGAGGAGGGGGAGGAGATGGAGGGAGATACTCTGAGCACCATCCTCTGAGCTGGCCTTTGCCCAGGCACGCGTGGTACTGACACGGGGAAGGCGGGGCCCGTGGGCCGTGGCGGCTGAGAAAGCGGCACAGCGGCACCCCGCAGCGTGCTGGAAGGGCGAGAGAGGACGTTGGACCTGGGGGCCTGTTTCTTACTCCGCCACAGACTTCCTGTGCTACTCTGGGCAAGTCACTTAGCACCTGTGCCCCACCGTTGCCCCCTCAGGGCTATGCTCCATGGGCACGTTATTCCAGACTCAGATTGGCTGTGACTCTCACAACTACTGCTGGCCCAAGAGGCTCTGCGTGGGGCGTTCTCTGGAACGGCGTATGCTGCAGCAGCTATTCGGCTCAGTCTCGCCCGCAGACAAGGCCTAAGGCTGGTGGTGTGGAAGGCTCGTTAAGCCTGAAGCTCAAAGTAAAGCACTAATGCGGCCCGATCCAGCCGACAGTGATTCTTGGCTCTGGCCCGGCCCCTCTGTCTGCCAGCCACTCGCTGGGAAGGAAATGTGGAACCGCCGCTAGTTTGCAGGTGCCATGAAGGTTACGTGGACGGCGGGGCAGTGGCGCGCTGGGCTCCAGCCACAGCTGGCTGAATGCAGGGTCTTGTATGTAGCAGTAGAGTTAGGGTTAGGTCAGGTGACAGCAGGACAAGCCCCACCTGACAGGAGGCAGGAAAAGGCCTTGGGAGTGCCCAGGTGGAAACCGCGCGGAACTCAGTTCATTTCCCTTATCCAAGAGGAGCAGACACCCTGGTCAGCACTCGGGGGGCACCGGGAGACGGCCAAACCCTTTATATGGGCCCCAAAGTAAACGTCCCAGGTTGCCAGCTGTGTGGTGTGGTGTGTCCCTCCCGCCCCCCTGGAGCTCAGCCCCCAGCCACGGCCCGAGCCGGGAGTTAGCGGCACAGCGAGCCGGGGCACAGGCCACGC